ATATACATATATATTTTATATATTACATCATTCTATCTTATTATTAACTATCATTCATTATCTTCGAAGATATTAGATCATTAAATTTATGTAAATTTTGATTTAAGGATAAATTAAATAAAACAATAATGTAAATATTAGTTAATGATTTCCTTATTTTGTTACATTTGCCAGTAATTTATCAAAGCATCTATAAATTTTATTAAAAAATAAATTATTTAAAATTAAAAAATACTTTAAAAATTTATTATTTTGAGCAACTTAAAAATATGAAACTAATTATTTCAAACCTAATTAATTTTAAATAAAAAAACTAAAATAATTATTTCAACTTGATATTTAGGTTGTGGTGATAAATTAAAACATTAATATTTCTTAAATTTATGTTAGAATTCTTTATTTTGTTCAATAATAATCTATTTAAAAAATAAATCCTAAATAAGTTTTCCTAGTTATCAAAATAGGATTTTTATTTTATTAAATTCCTTTAAAATGATATTTGTGAAAAATCAAAAATCAAATAAAATTTAAATTTTAATAAAAAGAAAAAATCTGAATTCTAAATATTCTAAAATTTATTGTTCTTATATTGAAAATTTAAAATCTAATGAAATATTAATATGAAACATAAATAATCTAACTCTACCTTACAAACTATTTAAAATTTATTAGCATTTTAAATCACAAATTTATAGAATCGCAAAATTTAAATAATCTTTTATCTTTAGACTGGTAAAATTATCCTGCAAATTTTAGATAGATATCGGTATTTTTAACTGCTCTATTGTCTTTAAAAAATTAAGAAAGAAAAAAAATCAAAGATAATATATTTTATGAAATAAGAAAAAAAGTAAATTAAAGGCATTAACTCAGGATTAGAGGGTACAAACACAGCATTAAACAGGAAATAAATATATCCAAAGTTTAACAAGATAACTCAAAAAGACAATTGTATTATCAGAATCAACTGTAAGAAGGATAGTTGAGAAGATAAAAAGAGGTAAACTGCTAGAAAGAAAGAAAATATCTCCAAACCATTATAAGACAGAATAATAATATTTGCAAATAAATAGTAAAAATTTACTGCAAATATAGTAAAAAAGAAGTTTAAAATGAATTAGAACTGTTTTCAACTATAAGAAGATTCTTAAAATTTAATGAATCTGAATACTGCTCCTTATAGAAGCAGTTACCAATTAGTTTGGATTAAAAATAAAACAGGATCACATTTTGTTAAATTCATATCAGAGATAATATGAAATAAACATGTTTTGCTGATGAACCTTCTTTCAGCACTCATATTCAGCTAAATAAGGCCTGACAACTTAAAAGCAGTAAAAAGGTAGGATATAAAGTTAAACATCTAGCAAAGATCTGTGTTTGGGGTGGAGTTACTTGGCAAGGGTTAATTGATATTAAAATATTTACAGAAACAATGAATTCTTAATTATTTTGTAAAATTTTAATATAGAAATTGTTACCTTCAATGAAAAATTATATGGCTCAAAAAAATGGATAATTTATTAAGATAATGATCCAAAATATTCTTCAAGTTTTACAAAAAAGCTCAAGCAAGGTGAAGAAATATTATATATAAAAAAATGGCCTTCGTATTCTCCGAATTTAAATCCAATGGAATATTTAGAGCATAATAAATAAAAAAATAAAAAAACTTTAAAAAAAAAATCAGAAGTAAAAAAATTTTGAATTAAATAACTATTCATGAAGGCAGGAATCTCCTTGGTAGCTGGTAAACTAAATTTAAGCAAATCATCTCATTAAAAGGAAACTAAATTCCCTACTGGTTAATCTCATAATCGATAATTGTATTATATATTGTATATCCTATTTATTAATTTCAATGACCTTTCAAATATCGTATCTACCATGTATTTAATTAAATTCTCAAAATCACCAAATAATTCAGATACGATTATATTAGGAGTAGATAATGGCAACCTCAAGAATTCTTTAATTCTCATCAGCCAGTTTTTCTTAAATTTTAGAATCATTGCCAAATTTATGTATTTAGAATATTAAAAATATATTAATAAGAAGTTCTAATAAAGTAGTAAGGTATTCCAATTAAGAGTCTAGTTTTTCAGAGTTAGATCTTTCGAAAAGTATAGGGTTTTCTTTAAATAGCTCTATTTTTATTGAATATAATTAAGATATGGAGTTAGCTTGCCTTACGTATCTATTATAAGACCAAAATATTTATATTCAAATTTAATTGGGATACCTTCACACTGATTACAATATACCTTGACACTGATTACCATAATCATTAAATTATTTATTTTTTAAAGGTAATAAAGCTGATTTTGAGTTATTAATTATCAAATTATACTCGCTAAATGTTTTTATAAATATTTACTTAAAATTTTTAATTTATTTTCCTTCTAGAATGAGCACTAACTAAGTTATAGGCATAAATTTTATACCATAAAGGTGACTTGAATTTTTGTTTTATTTATTTAATCATATCTTCCTTGTAATTATTATACAATACTGTACTTAAGGTTGAACCTTAAATAACTCCCTTTTTAAATATACAAAGAAATTAATAATTATAAGTATAATAATAAATTTTAAGTTAGTAATAATAAGATTAATAGAAATTTGAAAAAGAATCAAAATAATTAAATTAATAAGATTATTATAGCTATCAAATGTAAGAATTAGATTCATAATAATAATAAGAACATCATCAAAGAAAATTGAAAGATATTTATTCATGATAAGTTATTCGATTAGTAAATTAAAACCTCACATTATATGTAGAAAATTAAATTAAAATTTTGAAGATTTTAAATTAAAAGTAAATAATTATAAGAAAGATAATTAAAATGGGGAATTAAAATAAAGGTTAAAAATAATAAAAAGAGCAAATAAAATGTTTATTTTTGAAAAAAAATGAATGGATTGCATTTTGAGGAATTAACAAAGTAAATATTATTAGAGCATATAATGAAATAAAATAATAATTTAGTGAATTTTTTAAAAATTATTTATAACAAAAATTTAAAAAGATAGTTAAATATTGCAGTTGTTTAATTAAAATAATTAAATTAAAAAATATAAGAAAATAGAAAATTGTCATAATTAAAATAATAATTAAAGGAAAATATTAAAAAATTAATAAAAAAATTTTATTCAAACAATTCTTTTTGCATTCAAAATTTTGTTTGTCTGAAATTTAAAAATCTACTAATATATAAAGTTTTTTGTATATCTATAAGAACATAAATCAATATTTTATTCCAATAAGCTCTATTGAATCTTCATTGATATTGATTTAGTTTTAAATGATAATTTAAACACATTTTCTTAGTTTTTTTAAGTTACCATTTACTTTTTATACCTTTAGCAGACTTGTAGGAATAAAGATTAATAAAAATCTCCATTTTAATTTTTAATATATTTTTAAAGTTTA